AATGATTCTTTTTGTTGTACTTCTTGGATCTGTGGATAAATGATTTTCATCAAATTTGGGAATTTTTTGATCATTATTTTTTGAAATAATTTTTTTCCTTTCTATTTTCTGTTGGATTGCTTCATTTTATTCCATAATACTCTGAGGCTTTGTTTATTTTTCCTTGGTCATCTTCTCTCTGTTTTTCTTGTTATTTCTATTTATCTGTTTTCACATTCTGATTCTTTCTCTTGCCCTTTCAGATCTGCTGTTAAAGCCCATCCTAGTGCATTTTTCATTTCAGTTTTTGTACTTTTCAACTCTAGAATATCCATTTATTCCTTTTTTTTTAAATAAAAGTATCTGTTTCATCCTCCTATTCATTGAGTCTTTGTTAGGTTTTTCTTTAATTATTTAAACATGGTTTCTTTGAATTTTTAAAATGTATTTATAATCTGTTTTTTTTTTAATTTTTTTTTAACGTTTATTTATTTTTGAGACAGAGAGAGAGACAGAGCATGAACAGGGGAGGAGCAGAGAGAGAGGGATACACAGAATCTGAAACAGGCTCCAGACTCTGAGCTGTCAGCACAGAGCCCGACATGGGGCTCGAACTCACGGACTGTGAGATCATGACCTGAGCCGAAGTCGGATGCTTAACCGACCGAGCCACCCAGGCGCCCCTATAATCTGTTTTTTGAAGTCTTCATCTGCTGGGGCAGTATAGAATTAGCTCTAATTGACTGCTTTTGTTTTTATTTTTAAGTACGAGTCACACTTTCCTGTTTTTTTCCATGGCTCATAATTTTTTATTGGAAACTGAACATTTTAGATATAGCCAATCTGTAATTTTATTTTTTCCTATGAGAATTGTTGTTTTGCCTTTTTAAAATAAATTATTTTCACTTATGCTTTTAATCTTGTGCTGCCACTGATATTTCTTCTGTCTTCAAGTAGCTCCTTTCCTTGTATGATAGCTTCTGTTGTTACAGTTCTCTCATGTGAAACTAAAGTTTGTCTTTTGGTTGCTCCCATAATGTTTGGTTTTCTGGATTTATATAGAATAATTCAGTTTTCTCTTCTATATGAAGCAAGTCTTCTTTAATGTTTTCTTTGCTGGGCCCAATACTGTTTTTTCAGCTATTTTAAAAAAATGTTCTTTTTATTTTTGAGAGAGAGAGAGAGAGAGACATACAGACAGAGAGTGAGGGAGACATAGAATCTGAAGTAGGCTCCAGGCTTTGAGCTGTCAGTACAGAGCCGGATGCAGGGCTCAAACCCACAAACTGTGAGATCATGACCTGAGCTGAAGTCAGACACTTAACCGACTGAACCACCCGGGTGCCCCTTTTTACAGTTATTTTTAGAAAATAAAATAATTTCCCATTGTGGCACTTTTCTTTGGGTGAACTCTAGATGATTAGTATCCTATGAAACTATTACAGGTGAAAAAACATATAATGCTACAAGTAGAGTATTATAATAATAAAAATAGTAATAGCTACCCTTTATACAGTTCTTATTATGTGGCATGCATAGTGTTAAATCTTTAATGACTCTTTACAATAACAGTATGAAGAAATAGAAGCTTGCAGAGGCATTGTTGTCTGTCACTTCTGCAGCTAATAAGTGATCACCAACCCAGAATTTGAACCAAGGTCTGCTTTAACTCCAACTCTTTACACTGCTGCCCTTGGCTGGCATGGAATTCAGGGTGGCTATGTTACTCCTTGTATTCTGGATATGCTGGTTCTATTAATTTGATCTAAGAATTGCCTTAATCTTTTGGGCAGCAATATTGTATATGGCAGCATATCACTGACTTACATAAAGCTTGTATTCAACTAAAATGTACAAAACTTAATAAGATCTTAAATATTTGAGCTTGTGTCTGGCCTGGACTTTCCCTCTTATGAAATTACTTTTCACTATAAATGCAGGACTTTGTGTTCTTATCTGTGTCTTGGAGATTTCAGCCTAAGTTCTAGGTTGCCAAGATATTTTTGAAGTTTGAATCTGTCATCTATGATATTAGCTCTTCCTCCAGATATATGTGGCCACGTACATCTTTGATAAGTATTCTTTTTTGTGTATTTATTTAGTCTTTGATACAATTTCAAATAAATCAGGAGTGAATAAAGAATGTATACAGCATATCTATATTTTCCCCAAACATTGTTGTTGTGTACACTTCTGAAGTCTCAGACATGTTTGGCCATGCCCATGGGTTTCTCTTCTTACTGTTGTTAAGACAATATGATCACTGTATTTTAAGGTTCTGGTTGGAATGATGTTGAGGCTATTAGTTATAATTATTGCTTTCTCTGCCTTCTGAGCAATACATTTATTCCATAGGAAATAGAGAGTTTGGTAGGTGTTCTACTTTTGTATTAGACTCCTATTAGAAGATATCTGAATAATTGAAACTTCTCTTCACTGTATATAGTATGTTTTGGTACAAGTTTTGTAATGTTTTCTGGGAAAGTATCATACATATTTCTTTTCTGGATAGACCGCCTATGGTATGCTGCTGTTACAGTATAATTAGGTTTTTCTCTTAAGTTCCTCACTTTTATTATTTGCTGTAATTTACTATTAAATTTATGAGTTTCTATATAAGAGTAACTTTTGGAAAGGTCACTGGACTTGACTTTGAAAATTCCTGGATTTGGGGACTGACCACGCAATGTGAACTTGAGCAAGTCACTTAAGCTTTGTGGATCTCAGGAATCTACATATACACAGTAGGGATAATAATATTATTCTTTATCATTTAGGATTTCAAAAACAGGTAAGGATTTTAAAAATAAGAAACTAATATTTCATATAACAAGAAATCAAAAGATGTGCAGTCTGGGACAAGTATGGTAGCTGTCGTAGCTCATTAAAATCTTCTGATCTTTCAGTTCACCATCCTTAGTGTGTAGTCCTTTGCTCTCTTGCTTCTTGACTCATTGCCACAAAATAGCTACTTTAACTCTGGGCTTCATATCTATGTTTTAGACACAAAGAATGGGAAAGGCTAATAGGTTGAAGGACAAAAATCCTGGTTTTCTCTTAGTGAGGTTTTGTCACTAAAGTTAAGTCCCTCTAAGGATGTCTGCCTGCAGCTCATTGGCCAGAACTATGTTACATGTCACCCCTTGCTTCAAGGAAAGCTGGGAAATTGTTTATTTTTGTGTTTTAGTCTTTGCAGTAGAAGGAAGCAAAGAAGGGATTGGGTTTACGGTTTGGGTCAGCTGGTCAACAATATCTACCACATACTTTCATAGGATTATTGGAAGGATTCAATGGTACAGTGTAATTAATATGTTTCCTCTTGCTTTCTATCGGTGGTCTTAAAAACTAGAGTATGTCTTGAATTAATTTATTCTAATTTTGTATTCAAGCCTCAGAAAATCTATGAGAGTAGTTACTTGAATGTTAAATGAGTTCAGTTTTTACCTATAGTCTAGAAATTGTCATAAATATGTTTAGGAATAGATTGCATTGTTCCCAACCAGCTCTCTTGTTTTCATCCAAGGTTTAGTGAGAGCCATTCCCACATCTGGCTAATCTTTGTGTACTACACATCCTAACTCTCCTTATCATGGGCTTGTATTTATAGCTGGGCTTCTCTATTATAGGGCTCTGTTGATGGGTTTGAAGATTATTTGTCTACAATGATGTCTCACCTTTGATGCCACATACTCTTATTTTCTCTTTGAGCATTGTTTAAAATCTTTTCTATTGCTACCATTAACATGGGCGTTAGTTTGCTACCATTAACATGGGCATTGGTTTTTTTCTTTCCAAAGCCATTGGTGTCAACAGTGGCAGAACATTTTTTTTCTTAGCATTTTCCCCTAAAATCTTTCAATTTGCTATGTAAAACTTGGAAGTTTCTAGAGCTGTTATCCAGATTGCTGCTGATAATTATTTGTTTATATGATAATAAGCTGAATTATATTTTAATTTACAAAAATAAACACATAACTTTAAGGTATCAAAGCTCCCTGCTAACTGGGGAACATTCTAGGTGACTGTTTTTGAGGGTGACTATTTTCTGGAGAATACTTGGGCTTTGAGTAAAAATCATATTGAAGTATAAAAAGCAGCCTGTCACCAATGGGAAAATAATTGGGAAAGAAGCAGATCTGCAAAGTGACTCTAGTCCTACTCTTGTTTCCTTCACTGACTTACAAAATACTTCTAGATTTAAAGAGTTATTGGGGCGCCTGGGTGGCTCAGTCAGTTAAGCATCTGACTTCGGCTCAGGAGAGTCATGATCTCACAGTTCATGAGTTTGAGCCCTGCATCGGGCTCTATGCTTAGAGCTCGGAACCTGGAGCCTGCTTCAGATTCTGTGTCTTCCATTCTCTCTGCCCCTCCCCTGCTTGTGTGCCGTCTCTCTCTCTCTCCCTCTCTCTTTCTCTCAAAAATGAAATAAAAACATTAAAAATTAAAAAAAGAGTTATTAATGAGTTAGAATGCAGCTAGAGGCACATGAAAAATAGCAGCAGAAATCCTGAGCAGCTAAGGAGAGAATGGTAGCCCTAATGTGAGCTGAATAGGCTGGCTGGTAAATTTGAAAGCAGGTCACATATCCTGAATATATATACAGGAGCTATCACCTGGTCCTACAGCATGAAGTAGAGGAAATAATCATAGTCACTAGTTTTCAGACAAAGTTGTATTATTTTTTTCCATGGAGAATGGTAAAAGATGTTAAGAAAAGGCCCCAGGAAGTAAATAAGTCCTGGAGGTGAGCTTAGAGGAGAATGGAGGAGTGAGCATCTTAAGTGAGGTCAGAGTGAGATAAGAAAATGGAAATTGCAGAGGATTTGGAAATGACTAGAGAAACCTACAGGATGTATCAAGAAGTTGGAGACTCTTCAAGGTTTCTTACTTCCGAATCTCTTCATTCTGATGAAATATGGTAGTTTATAAATTCTGTCATTTTGGGTGAAACAAGACTTTGATGTGTATATGGTTATTTGTTTTGTTTTGTTTTTGCTGCCTGCCTTTATTTCTTTTTGTAGACATTGTTCGAAGTGATGTTGCCTTGGATAAACAGAAAGGCTGCAAGATTGCTCAGCACCCTGATGTTATGCTGGAGCTCCAGCGGGAGAAGGCAGCTCAAATGCATCTTGTTCTTCTAAAGGAGCAATTCTCTAATACTTACAGTAATCTCATATTAACAGGTAAGGCTATTGGAGTCGTTTGGAATCTTAAGCATTATAGATTGATGGCCTCCATTAGTTAACAACTTGACGTTTGGTAGACACTAAAGTGGGATCTAGATGAGCCCCTATCTGTCTGTCTCCATCCACTATATCCCTTTTTAAATTGTGATTACTTTTGTCTTCCTATAAAAAATATTTCTTGTAGTTTGCAGATGTATTTTGGCTTGAAGTTATAGGCAACTCAGCATGTGTGTTCTCAAAAGACAGAACCAATGAAAACCTAATGAAGCCTTATAAAAATATGACTTTTTAGATGTGTGCCAGTGGATTTGAGAGAATTACTAAATTTGGTGTCTAAGAAGCAGCTATTTTCCTCTTTCTGTGTATGCCCTTTCTGTGAACCCAGTGAACATAAAGATGAAATGTAAAAGAGATAATGATCCACAGGCTGAGCTGAGAATGTTCTATTCCTGGTGGAGTTTGAAAGTATCTGGAGAATTTGATTTTCGTTTTAAGAGCAAAGAGGCTATGAGACAGCCATACTCCCTTACATCCTTGGTTCAAGGAGGGAAGTGAATTTGTGTGAGAGCTCAAAGGAGAAAAAGCTTTTTGCAAGGCTGCCTGCAAGCTTTGCTGGTACAGAGCATGTGAGTTGCATGCTTTCGTCAAGTTTTGGAGAAGATTCTAATAGCAGACTCTAATGTGAGAATAATGGAGTACTTGAGATGGAGTAAGAAGAGCGGTCTAAGTTACTTCCATTTTCTTGAGGGCATGCAAGGCATTCCTGCATTATATTGCTCCAAATAAAGTTTCACAAATCAAAAGTGTGTGTTTTCCCGTGTTTATCAATATTTAATATTCAAAAGATGGAATGTCTGACAGGCTATGAATATCTCACTTATTTTTGTAAACTCCAAGTTAGGACAATTTTAATTTTTTTAATAGGCTTCCTGGCATTTCACCAGGATTTGCTGAGTGGCAACCAAATTGTTTAACTTCTGAAAAAGCACAAGTCTCTTCCAACTTTTCTTCTTGTACCTGGTGGAAAACCCAACAGCATGAGGTGAAAGCCAGATTTAAATGTGCTTTGGTGAGCAGAGAAGAGGATTATAGATTTCATAATTATAGGCCTTGTTTTTTGCTCTTTGATAAGTTATTAAGGAGGGAAAACTTAAAAGTGATTTATAGCCAATGTATTATTTCCCTAAGTTGGTTTCCCTAAGATGGTTAGCTTAAGTTTAGATATTTGGAAAGAACATAGATTTTTATCCAAATTTCTTCATTCTGTCTCAGGCATACAGATGTACATATATTAATATTTTCCAATTCAGTTATTAGAAATATTTTTATTCCACCCTTATGTTAATTTTAGATCTATATTAAAGAGGTCAGATCTTGTGTTCTTTAATGTGGCATAGAAAGGGCTTAAGGTAATTCTAACCCTAAACTGTGGATTCAGAGTGTGGCTTGAAGGCATATTATCTTTGAAAACACAAGTGTTCTATTGAGTTCAATGGAATCTTTTCTAATTCTCAGTAACATAATCCCTTTGAATGTTTATTCGCAGTTCAAACTGTTGGAATCAACATTGTCAACTTTTACCCTGACAACTTGCTTACTTTCCACTAAACAAACTTACCCTAGAGAAGAGCCTCTTTCCTGCTCTTACTTCTCCCAAGCTGCTTCAAAGAGTCCTCAGGCATTTTCCACATTTTTCACCCAAATGCTTGTACAGAGGTGGTACCTTGCTACAGACAGAGCATTTGGTGTGCCCCAGTTTGTTTACATGAAAGTTCAAAAGGTTTTGGTTCCAGGTGTTGGGAAGAGCTGTAGCCATTTCAATTTAGCACCAGTGGTAAAACTATTTTAATGTCCTTTAACTAAGTCTTTGATTTTACACAGTGTGGTTTCCTAATTGTTATGAAGTTTAATCCTTGATTTCTTGTATAAATTTTGAGAACATGGTCTCCAGACAGCTAAACATAATATTTAAACATAACTAAACTAACTTTTGTAAATATTTCCCTTTTCAGTGATGAATGTATATTGGTAAGGAGGGTGAGGTTGAAGGGGCAGAGACCTCTCAAATGAAGTGACTCTCTTTACCAACATGTTCAGAACACCTACTCTAGGATTTCTGCTTGGTGATGTTCCACTTATTTTGTGTAACTCTGGCATAATATTTGAAATGTCTGCAATGAAAGTATTTATGTGGAACAAGATGAGGAAACTAGGCCTCCAAAATCTTAGAAAGAGATCATTTTCTTCATGACTCTGCCCTCCCCTCAACCCTTCTCAATTATTTACAGAATTTCATGTATATGAGTAGCAGTGTATCATAATAGTTTTCTGGTCAGTTAGTGGTATATTCTTTATTTTAAAATTGGTTGACTAAGATCATAGTATAGGAAAAAATAAAGCGATTAAAATCAGATGGTTAAAAGCATGGTTAAAAATGATAGTTGTTGCCTTCCACCTCACAAGCAAGCCCCCATTCTTAGATGTTCCATCTTTAGCTGATGTGACTGTCAGCGTTGAGGTGAGAGGCATGCCTTCATTTTCTGCATTCCAGCTCATCTTCTCTCTTAAACAGCCACCCCTCAGATGAGAGCAGATTATATTCTAGCTTTGAAGGTCTTCTGACTGTTCAGTAAAAGGAAACAACCCTCCAGTACTTAGTGACAGCTCAGTTAACAGAAACTAGTAACAATTCTTTAATGTGTATACCTTATTGAAGTATTCCTCCTTATATCACATTTTTAGAAAAGTGGAGTGTATTTTTGCATGATATTAAATATGTCTTGGGGTGCCTGGGTGGCGCAGTCGGTTGAGCGTCCGACTTCAGCCAGGTCACGATCTCGCGGTCCGGGAGTTCGAGCCCCGCGTCGGGCTCTGGGCTGATGGCTCAGAGCCTGGAGCCTGTTTCCGATTCTGTGTCTCCCTCTCTCTCTGCCCCTCCCCCGTTCATGCTCTGTCTCTCTCTGTCCCAAAAATAAATAAACGTTGAAAAAAAAATTAAATATGTCTTTATGTTTTCATGTGAATGATTTACATAGCAATGGAAATAATGTTAGCCTTCCCTAATATAGTGGGTTTTTGCAGTGAACTCCAAGGTTTTAGGAAGGTGATGGAGTAATACCAGTAGAACATCAGTGATAGAACTGTTTTAAATGGTGATGAGTTGCATCCTGTACTTTTCACACTGACTCAACAACACGTGGATGTATCTTATCTTGTCCTGTAGCATCCAGTTTGTCCTGGAGCATTTAAGAAAGAAAGGGGATTATTCTTCCATTTCTTTGTGTTCTCATGACTCTTAATGTAATAATGTTCTATAAGTTCGTTGAAAATGTCCTGCTGTTTATATGATAAATGAATTGACTTGGGATAATTTTGACATCTAATTAATAACTTTAATAGGTTCAGATTCAGTATTCATTTCCCCTCACCTTGCTCCACCCCCATACTTTTTGAGGTATAAATTGAAATTTTGTGGTGGATTCCTATAATCAAATGCAAAAGTCAGCTTTAAGGGGCAATGTATTTTCTTGGATTTTGTTTAGAACATAAGCTTCTGGAGGATAAGGAATATCATATTTTTACAGCATTCTGCACAATATATAGAACATAGTGAGTGATCTTGAAATGGGGTCAAATTAAAACAAAATTTATTTATGCTGTGAAGTCATAGTCAACCCTCTGTAACTAGGCAGCCTGAACCAAAGCCCTTATAAAAGGATGGCATTACCTAAGATGCTTTCCAGGATTCTTTTATGAGGACTCTTGTCATGTTAATTGCTGCTACTTTTTGTTTTATACACCCTCTCAGTCATTAGATTCCAAAGTGGATTGGGATCCTATGGTCAGCTTTACTGTGTTACTGTGGTAGATGAATTGAGCAAAAGAGGCTTGTACTTCCCTGTTGTGGCCCATTCTTCTAAATTTAGTTGAGCAAATCAGGGCTCAAATCAGTGGAACGAGAACTGTTTTTCAGTTCCCACAAATCATAATATTAGCTCATATTATTTCCGGTTCTTTTAAAATTATTTGCATTGGGGGCATCTGGGTGGCTCGGTTGGTTAAGTGTCTGGCTTTGGATCATGTGTGATCTTGGGGTTCCTGAGTTTGAGCCCCAAATCGGGCTCTGTGCTGTCAGATTCTGTGTCTCTTCCTCTCTCTGCCCCTCCCCTGCTCGCGCTGTATCTCTCTCTCTCAGAAATGAATAAATATTAAAAAAATTTAAAATTATTTGCATTGTATTCTATAGCATTGAATACAACACACTTTATTTAACCATTTCTCTATCAACGTACATTAATTTATATACATGTTGACACATTTATTTCTGTAGAATAGATTCCTCAAAGTGGGGTGTCTGGGTCAAAAGGTATGTATTTTAAAATTTTATAGAATCACGTTTTTTGTGGTATAATTTATATGAAGAAAAAGTAAATTTTGACAAATGTATATATCTTAGAGTCATATAGCCACCACCACCTCACGATAAGATTTCCCTCACTCTAGGGGTTCTCTTGTCTCCCTTTGCAGTTTCCTCCCACCCCCTACCCCCAGTCCTTAGCTGTATGTGATCTGGTATTTGTTCCTAAATGTCATATAAATGGAATAATAAAATGGTTGTGTGTCTTATTTCTTTCACCAAGCATATTTTTTTTGAGATTCTTTCACTTGTTGCATATATCAGCATTTCATTCCTTTTATTGCTGAGTGATAGATATTTCATGTTGTGAATATGCTACAACTCATTTATCCACTCTGTTGTTGGACATTTGGTTTGTTTCTAGCTTTTGGTGATTATGAATAAAGCCACTATAAACATTTGTTCTTAGCTCTTTGTGTTGACATATTTTTTTCTTTTCTTTTAGGTAGGTACCTAAGAGTGGGAATGCTTGATTTCATGGTGTCTATGTAACTTAAAAGAAGCTGTCAGATTGTTTTCCAAAGTGGCTGAAACTGTCTTGCATTCTAGTAGTATGTGAGACTTCTCGTTCACTCATATT